AAGAGAGGACCCCCTCCCTCATCTTCCCTTTAAAAAGAGTTTGTTTAGCATTTTCCAGAAAACACTATGCAGTAAGTACATAGGCTGGCTTAAACTGCAAGCAGTCAAACACTATTCTTTGTGAACTAATCACAGTGATTAAAACATCCAGAAATACACACATTACTGGGATGATACTTTTGCACCAGCTCTAATAATAAAGGAGGAAGAAACGAGAGAAAATGGCCTCAAACCGATGGTAGATCAGTGTTTATCAGAAAAGTCAGCATGTTGAGTTAAAATACAAGCTCTCCACAGCTACATGACTGACCTTTGCAATAAATCATATATTTTATTGCCAGAAGTGTATGCTCATATCATTTAGTGCTAAGAACCATCACATATGTGTTTTGTAAAAGAAGGTTTTCTTACTACAGTGTTTGCCGATTCTGAAATGATGTAGCTAGCAATTTAAGTGATGTATAGAAGAATATCACATAATAACTTTCTGTCAATTGTAAAATATTTGAGCTGGCAATGCAATGAGGAAAATACTCCTTTTTTATCATCTCTCAGATCTTAGGTGTTTGCTAACAGAAAAATAATCATTCAGGGGATTAACTAATCACAGTGAATTTTCTGACATTTCAAATGCTGCTGCCAGCGTACGAGTTCTTATAGTGGTATATAACTGTACATCTCAACTAGAAACAAAGGTCAAGGGCATAAATTAAGATACACTTTCTTCTCTTGAAAAAAGAAGAAAAAAATCATTGCTGTACTACAACAGAAGTGTGGTAACATTTGTGAAGGTCAGAATCATCTGTATTTTAATTCAGAGTTCTTGTAAAATTATGTAGTTTTTTCCCTTTTCTTTTCTTCCACAAATACCACCTTCCTGGTATGAAAATACCAGCAACAGTGGGGCTGTCTTCACCTTACTCATCTCACCAGAAATCTGTCCTGCCAGCACCAGCCATTGCCTCAGTGGTGCAAGGTCATTCTAATTTCTTTTCTCTGGCTTTTCCCTCTCCCTGGGGGACAACCAATCCAAGCAGTCCCATAGCTTGGCTCAATAAGATGTGGAAATTAGCTGTTATTTACTGTGGTTGCAATCCTCATTCCAACCAGCTGCCTCCAAATAGAACCACGTTTGCTCAAATAGCTGAACGGTCTGCATAAGAGTCCTGGCTTGCTGGGCTACAATGCCAACTTCAGATCAAGCGGAATTCTATGAGCATTGTGATTATTTAAATGTCAAACAGTGTGCAAAATATTTCAGCCATTCTTTCAGCAAGTAATTCCTTGAAAATTATAGATGTCAATATCCCATCTTTAACCAGTATGGAGTTGCTACTGCTACACCATTCTTCCCCTAAAGTGCAGCCCTATTTGTAATACTCAGGACAGATTTCTGTCCTTCAAAAGCAGGCATCACTGCAGTTATCTTCACAAGAGCTATCAAGTTCCAGACAGGCTGAATTATTTTTGTTCCTGGCAGAAAAAAATATTTGACCCAGCTCTGGACCAAGAAAAAAAAACTCAGAAAAGCAGGATTTATAGTCCTCTGTCCTTTCCTGCAACACACTGTAGCATTGTTAGGATGATAAACAGCTCTGTCCAATTTTCTGGACTAAAACACTTCAACTCCTTTTTTAACTGTCTGTAAAAACAGTGCCATGTCTAAATTCTCTCATCCCCAGTTACCCAAGTGCTAGGAAAGATAATTACCTTGTCATCTCTGTCATCCTCTTCTTCCTCGTCCTCTAGCATGTCCTCCACTACCTGCAGACAGAAACAGTAGTAGTTGTCATGATTTAAAAAGGAAGAGTTTTGTTCTGTCAATTCTGAACCTTTTGTAGATGAAAACTTTATTAACGTTTGAAACAAATGCACAGAAGGAAAATGTACAACTAGGAAAAAACAGCTGATCTAGGGATTCAAATTCAGGAAAGTGTTACAGCTTTAATTAACCTACATTTGGGAATTATATACTGAAAACCCTTCCTGTACAAAATGCTTGCTTGACAATTTAAGTATTTAAAAGCCAGTTTAAATTTCAATATATGATTTTAACTAAAGGAATCCTTTGTCACCTCCACTGGTGTGTATGCAGCACACACAGATGTTTGCTTCTTTTATTTACTGTTACCTGCAGAAAAGCGCAACATTTTAAATAGAATTTACAGCTTTCACCAAGAGACTTCTGAAGAGTACAAAACTGGGAATAAATTTATACTAGCTTATGTCCTTATGACCTACAACAGTGATATATACCATAAGCTCTATCACCATTAGCATTGTTTATTAATAGTGATTTTATACAATCTGTGCATCTAACTTTATGCACATTCATGCTAGCTGCAGTTGCTATGTCTGCCTCTGTGTATTTTTCCATTTAAAGTCTATTCAGTGTAACACTATCAAATATACATGCAATTCATTCTACAAATATTAATAATTATTAATCACACCATAAGCATCAAATGAACCACTGTTAAATCTAGTTTACAGAGAGATTAAGTGATTTTCTGAGGTCAGAAACAGATTCAAACTAAAACCTCAAAAATCCCTCTCTTGTAACACTGTGATCAAGTCTTCAGCCCACCCTATGGGAAAAATTTTGTATTGGTGGAATTGAAATGAAGTTGTACTTCCTTATAACCAGAAAATAATCATTATTTATACTTATTTATCATTATTTAAGTACTTATTAGGATATAAGAACAGCCATAATGAAGGTCTGCAAAGATCTACCTAGCCCAGTCTCATATTATGGATGCAAAAGGTTTATATTATGTACTGTAAAATATTCATAAAAAGGACAAGAGAAGGAAAAACTTGTTGGTATGAAACATTAATACTTGTGCCTATTTTACAGACTTGAAACCAGCTAAACTGACAGATAGTTTACTTTGTTATATACTGAAGCTACAAACAGTTACAGAGTACTTGTCATTTAAGACAACACATTAAAAATAAAACTTCATGATCATTCCCACCAAACACTGCTGCAAGGATACTTTCATAAGTATCCAATTCCATGTCCAAAAACTAAATGGACTTTAACGTTATCCAAGAACCAAATTCAGGCAAGAGAACTTAAAAGCGAAAAGGGTGTGTATCAGATTCCTTTCTCTGATATAACTCAACCATCATGAAACTCCCAGTTAATAATGATACATGGGCCCATGTAAGATGTAAACAACACATAGGTGTACTCAACACACGTCTAGAAAAGCACTCTGCATACATGCAAGTCAACTGCATAGTTCAAAACATTTTCAGTTCCACCTGCTCATCCTTGTTTGAACCCAGTTCCCGAACCCAGTCCCCAAACCCCACTAACACGACGCCTGGGACTTTGGAGGGGCAAAACCCTGCTAACAAGAAGCCTGGGACTTTGGAGGTGAAGTAGCCTCCAATTCTGTCTACTAGCTGCACTGTCCTGAAGCTTATAACCAAAAGAACTAGAAACACAAAGAAATGGTGAAGAGTCAGCATGTCCAAAAGCACAAGGAAGAAGCACGACCTGAACAATTAAGGAACAATTACTCTTCAATTCTTTCCTGCCCAGAGAACAATTTTAGCAGGAGCAGCATGACAACGGATCTGATGCAAGTTAGGCAGACATATCACAGACTCATAGAATGGTTAGGTTGGAAGGGACCTTAAAGACCATCTAATTCCAACCCCCTGCCACATCAGGGATACCTTCCACTAGACTGGCTTGCTCCAAGCCCCATCCAACCTGGCCTTGAACACTGCCAGGGTTGGCTTTCTGGGCTACGAGCACACACTACTGGGTCATGGGGACCTTCTCATCAACCAACACCCCCAAGTCCTTCTCCTCAGGGCTGCTCTTAATCCAGCCTCTGCCCAGCCTGTAGTTGTGCTTGTGATTGCCCTGAGCCATGTGCAGGACTTACCTACCCTAAAACTTTTAAGGTGGATGGTTTCAGTGACCCAGTTTACCAACCAGCTCCAAAACCATTAGCATCAGCTCTACCAAGGAAATGGTGAACTGAGAAGAGAGGATGAAAACAAGCTGTTAAGGACTTCTGCAAGATGTAAACCCTCTTAAATCAGTTTTGCCACATGCAGGAAAGTCTGTAATTATATCATTAGATGACTGAAGCCCAAGGTATAAAACTAAATCTGTTGATTCAGATACTGCCTACGCCTGGAGCTGACTAAACTTACTAGATCTCTCACTTTTTAACATTAATATTCCCCAGAGACTTAAAGATCTCTTTTATGTACCTCCAGAAATTCCTCATCTTGACAGGATTGAATAGCAGAATGCTTATCTCACATTAGCGCTAAAGTTATCATGGAGACAATTAGTTGAATTGGAAACCTCTAAAATTGTTGCAAATGATGGAACCTTGCTGAAATTACTTGCCTGACAATACCCATTCTAAATTATCCAGATAATAATACTTTAAACTCAACTTTTTTTTCTTCCTCATCTAATGATCTCAAACTACTTTACAAGCTTCTATAGAGTGGAAAAATGTTAACTCATTCAAAGGACATAAAAAGTCCTTTGAAATTGCTTGAAGCCCAGGACTAACCCCAGATTTCCAGCTCCTCTGTTCAATTTTTTTAATACAAAAGCCACTACCACTCTCCGCTCTTGTTCTAGGTTAGTCATATCATTGATTACATTGAGATTTGGAGTACTGAACTGACTGGAAAGGAAAACAGAATTCAATTATTGCAGCAAAATAAAATGTAGTAAACGTGATCCTATGCCCAAGATGCATAAATGATTCTTTATGAAATATAGCCCATGCTTTCACTTGTCTTGAAATTCAAAAGGAAGTGCTCAAAATAAAAATCCAAAACCTGAACAATATGAACAAAGCCAGACAATATGGACACAATAATACAATTTATTAATCCACTAAACCAAGAGTTTCCAGAACTTTGACACAAATTAAAACACAGAAAGTAGATTCTTCATAACCATATGGTATATGAGGAATCGGTATGCCAAAGCCTTACAAAAGCCATTTACTGAAGTATGATCTCTTTTTGCAGAACAAAGCAAGGCTGTTCAAGAGAGGTACAGTGGGACCGAGCAACAGATTTCAGTGTAACATTGTTGTAAGAATATTGCAGAAAAAAAAAATACAATGGATTTTTTTCTCCTTTGATTCTGCCTCATTGCTATTCAAATAAAGTGCACATGTGCTGCTTCAGTTTGAAGGAACACAGTAGTTATTCAGATCTCTATGTCAAGCATTGTAATTGGGGGAGGTATGATGGAGGGAGGGAGGAGATGGGGAAGGAGGGAGAGGAGACAGGAGGAGGAGGACAGGAAAAGACACAGGAAGATAAAATGAAATATTAGCATTATTTTATTAAAAGTTCTGTGGTAAAAATCTTAGACTGTTCCTAGAATACTCGCTCTAAATTATGCCTTCCGATACATTGCTTGAAATCAAGTAGTATTAATCAAACAAAGGAAGGGCACTGGGGAAATCAGAAAGATCTAATGCAAGCAGTTAAAGTGACATGACCTTCTGTAATGTCACTTGTCACAGACTTGTATGCCGCATACTGGTAGAAGGTCTTGAAAGAACCTGCTTCTTGGTACTGTCCCTTGAATGCAATACGAATACAGATGACATTCAAAAAAACACACACAGACAGCCTCAGATAACGGCACGTCAGCTACTTCACGGCCAAAGAGTGAGCAGATGATGTTTAAATGTTGCAAAGTTAAGATCCTTCCTGTGCAAAATAGCCCTATTAAAAGCTTATTAAGCAGAAAGAATACGCAGTCTAATTCCTATGTACTGCCATTGCTCCCAATTCATTTCCACCCTCTTTGAGGAACTCAGACTATAAATATGCTGTGATTCATAATCCACAGGAGGCTGGAGGAGCGTCTGTTCTGCTGCAGTGGTGTGCAGCTACGTTATACCAGGTTAGCAGAAGGAAGAACCACCACATTTGCACGCCGAAGAAATCTCATGTTTGTGGTTTCTGAGGAAGACTGAGTCTTCTGAGGAAGCTGGCAATTAAGTACAACTTGAATTTATTCTCAAGATGATCTATTGACTAACAAACAACATAGGATTGCTAAGAAAATAATTATTACTTCCAACCTCATTATCTGCAAATTATGGTGAGATTCTAGTTATGTACAAGCACATTGAATCAAAGCCCCATGATTGCAGAGAACTTTGAAATACCTCCTGAATCTAAAGACTCCACAGAAGAATGACACATTGAACTTAATGCCACTTTAAATGAAAGGTTCTTCTCTCAGTATCAGCCTGCATTTCTCACATACAATGTGCAAACCACAAGTCACTCCATGAATTGTCTTCAAAGTTCTTTGGCTGATGCAACATAAACACCTACACAGAAGATAGTCTGATATCCCTGCATTTTAGCAATACCAGATATATGTTTGACACCAATATGCAAAATTAAGAAAAAAGAAAAGGAGAAGCACTATCCGATGATAGTGCTGCTGATAACCCTAATGAGTTACCTTACTATTTTCCTTAATGTGAAGCAATGCCCCACTGCTTAGTATTTCTCTACATTTGCTTATATCTCACTTGCTGTAGTCCTTCAAACACAAATAGGTGGTTTCAAATGAATAACAAAAGAAAAAACTTTTTATGCTGTATCACATTATGGTGTCAAGACATTTGCAGATATTTGTATTTTCATATGTAGGTATTAACGTAAGAAAAAATAAAAGAGAGAATGAGAATTGGTTCCAAATTAAACACATTTTAGATGTGCAGTGAATGTGGTCA